TTTCAGGTTCCCTATCCTCAGCTGCCCAAGGAACTAACTGGGGACATTGCCCTGGGCACCTGGGAGCCACTCTAGGTTCATGTCTCTTACCAACCCTAAGGTGGTTCCCTTAATTAAGTTATGTGATTCCCTGCTCCTCTGTCCAACCTTGTTTTATCCCCAATCACCCCGTTTCCCCAAGTTTCCCCCATTCTCCCCTTCTCACTTTGGAAATAGAAAACACTATCCTGAGTGAGGTAACCCAGACCCAAAAAGAGGATCATGGGATGTACTCACTCATAATTGGTTTCTAGCCATAAATAAAGGTCACTGAGTCTATAATTTGTGATCCTAAAGAAGCTAAATAAGAAGGTGAACCCAAAGAAAAACATATAGTTATTATCCCTGCTATGGGAAATAGATAAGATTGCTGGGCAAAAATTGGGATCTTGGGAGTGGGGTGGGATGGGGTTAAGGGTTATGAAATTTTTTAAAAAATAATATTTAGTTCATTTGGATATATACACAAAAGTGATATTGCTGGGTCTTAAGGAAGGTTGTTTCCTATTTTCTGAGAAATCGCCATACAGATATCCAAAGGGGCTGTACCAGCTTGCACTCCCACCAGCAATACAGGAGTGTTCCCTTTACCCCACACTAAATTCGGCCTAAGTTGTCATCAGTTTTTGATCTTGGTCATTCTTACATGTGTAAGATGGAATCTCAAAGTTGTTTTGATTTGCATTTTTCTGATGACTACAGACGTTGAGAATTCAGCTTATCTTATCAGAAAGCTAACCAGTGATATTTTTTAAGAACTATCCAACATACTTTAAATGAAGAGGCAATTTAGGATAGCCACTAATTCCTTAATTTGTCATTATTTAAATCTATTGCATTTTTACTGGATTTTGTTAAAGGAAAGGCAGTTAAGATTATTCATTTATATAATATTCATTTATATTAAATTACAATTAAGAAGACTATTGGATTTTCTTATTATGGAAGAGATAACCTTTGCTGTAATACAATAAATACATCTGTACTAAATTCAACTAATCAACTTTTCTATATATTTTTTGAATCACTTTAGCTACTAAATATGTGACCTGAATTCACAAAATGCTATCATACCTCACAAAAAAACACATAGGCACTTATGATAAATATTAAAAAAACTGAGCTGAGAAACTATGTTTAAAATAATATTTTACAAAAGCTTAAGTGAGGTTACATATGCAATACTGTAGTATAGTTTTCATTTTAATAACTGTTTCAGGAAAATTATTTACTGTTGCTCTTCTAAAATGTTTTTAGACAGTATTAAATTTGCTATCATATATTGACATATGAATATTTTATTCTCATGAAAATTACTCAGATTATCCTTTGGCACACTGGAAATGAAATCTTCCATTTTATTTTGTGTTAGAGTCTTGTGATAGGCCTATATTTGAGAATGCTGGAACTCAAAGTAATAGCACATGGTTTAAACTCAATGACAAATTAGACTATGAATGCCGTGTTGGGTATGAAAACAGACATAAAGATACCAAAGGCTCCATAATATGTAATTTTGATGGATGGTCTGATAAACCCTCATGCTATGGTGAGTACTATTTTCTATTGAATTTTAAAAAATAAAACTAAATATTTATTTGCTAGTTTAAAATAAATTTCCTAGAATTTTCCTTCCTGTTTAATGTAACCTGTGAGAAACGAAAAAAGAAGGCCAAAGGTGATCATATCTGCTTTTACTATTTCATCACATTCATCTTGTGTGCACATGCATGCATGTGTGTGTCTATGGAGGTGTGGACACTGAATAAAAGAAGGAGGACATGATTGCTCTTAGGTATGGGTGGAGGAGAAGGTTTATTGTAGATGTGAGGGAGACCATAGCCAGGGGTGTTATAAAAGGATCCAGTATGCGCTAGGCAGTGAGAGTTGTAAGAGAGCAAGACCAGAAAAGAAGAAAAAGGGAGCAAGGGTTCTACCTGGAAACCCAGAGACAAAGAGACAGCATAGCCAAAATGGCTGGGTTATATATGAAAGAGAACCTGGGACATAAGCAGTGAATCCTAGGGTCTGGAGAGGATGGGGGTAAGGGGTGTGGGGAGAAGCACTGAGAGGAGCAAGGGAAACTGGGCAGCATCTGCTTTGATATGTTAAATAGGCACCTCAGATAGGCATTCATCCTGAGTTTGAGAACTAACATGTACCACATTGCATATGTAGATGCCAGAGAGCCTGTGATAGGTATCTCCCTCTCTTCATCTTGGACTACCAGGGATTGAAACTAGGTCAACAGATTTGGATGCCAGCATTAACTCTGACTGAAACATTTCACCGCTCTGATAATCTCTTTTAAAATAATACTTTTTTCAGGTGTAGATGCCACATGCTTGTGATTCCAGCATTTAAGAGCCAGGCACAGGAGGGTTTACATTTGAGGACATATTGGGATACATAATGAGTCTGTTTCCAAAAAAAAGAAAACTAACAAACAAAATGGATTAAGGATTCCTTTGTATGACCTGTGTATATCACATATCTCTGATTAAAATATAATTGATTTATTATCATAAATGCAAGCTTTTAATAATTTAAACTAAGTCTCAGTTACCAAAATTGTGATTTGAAATATGAAAGAAAGTCATGCAACCATGAACAGTGTGATGGAGGAGGAGACAGGATAATTGGAAGAGTAAAAATTAAAAGGATAGTAACAGAAACCGTGAAACCAGATTTGCAGCTCAAGGGTCCTCTGAAACAGAAGTCATTAAGGATGTTTTTGCCTGGCAGGGTGGTGCACACCCTTAATTTTAGCACTTAGGAGTTAGAAGTATGAGTGTTTTGATTTCCACACCAGTCTAGGAGAAGGTCTAACCACCCTGAGCATTGCATCCAAGGCTTTGCCAGGTCTTGCCCTTCTCACCCATTCCCTCTGCCTGGCTAAAAACCATTAGATTATATTCTTAACTAGCTACCAAGGACGATTACCTCATTTGGCCACATCCTCCTCCTAAGGCTGACTACCAAGTTCCATTATCAAAGTATTGAAGTTCAGGCATCAAAAGCCCTCTTTGGCTAAGAGAAGCAAGTGACCCTGCCTTTGCCTCTCCCTACCCCCAAACATCAAACTAAACAAATAGTGCTCATTAATTTCTCTCTAATTATAAGCAGTTCAATATTATAAAATCGGGACTTTCTATAATACAATGCAATTCTAACATAGAATGCATAGGCAGGGCTATTAATTGAGTTGAAAAATACTAGGCTGGACATAGCCTAAAGGCCAGTCCTAGAATAACAAATATAGCAGGGCGGTGTTTGTGCACACTTTTAATCACTGCATTGGGGAGGTAGAGTCAGGTGGATCTTTGTGAGTCCCAGGCCTGGTCTACAAGAGCTAGTTTTAGGACAGGCTCCAAAATTACAACAGACTCCAAAACTACAGGGAAACCTTGTCTTGAAAACCAGGGAAAAAAAAGAATTACAAATATAAATTGTAAAAAAGGGAGAGGGTGTATTTTTCACTTTAAGATAGAGTATTATGGTATGCTAATAAGATAATTTCTATAAATAAGGTGAAACACATAAACAGGCACAGATAAAAAGAACATCTTTAAATTATTGTAATTGTAGAATAGAATAATTGTGGTAAGTCTTGTTCTGAACAATTTTTCCCAGTTAATCTAAAACTCGATATTAAAAGAAAGGAATTATTTGGGGAGGGTTCCCAAAGGTTTTTTTCTTATACACTTAGCATGTGCCATTCATCTGAGATCCATCTCTATCCACATTGTAAGTATTTTTTTAACTATGATTAACCATACCTATTAAGTATTTTTAATACTAGTTTCAAACCATGACTTTCAAATCTGTTGCTGATGATGTACTAACAGTTAATTTTTAAAGGTAAGAATTATCTTTTATATATCATCCTAATTTTAAAATTGTGATTTTTAATTTATAAATTAGCAAAAACAGAAATATCAAGGATGAAAAATATTTTTCTAGTTGTTTTTGTAACAATGCCAAATATTGAAGAAAAATTTTATTTTAATACTGCAAGTTATACATTCCTAATTTGAGTCAGAATAATTAACAGTTAACTATGAACAAGAACTGGAAGTATAACAAAGTAGTTTAGAGTAATATAAGTGTTTTGCAAATGTCTTTTACTTTTTTAAATATATTAGTTATATTTTCCTAACATCAAATACATCAGAATTGATTTTATGTGTTATATTTTCTCAATTACATCAAACTGAAAAATTTTAATATGTGATTTAGATATTGTATAGCATTAATTTCAAATATGAGAGAATACTTTATGTTGTGAAAATAAGAAAATTGTGACTTTAGCATTAATAACTCCCTACAGAAAATCAGATCAGTAAAAATAAGTTGATTTTATTAATTAATTTTACAACTAGTATATTGCACCTTACATTTCTTGGAGACTTCCATATAGAGTTGAGTGCTATATAAATGCTAATATGCAACACTTTCAGTAAGGAAGAGGGTTACTGATGTTTCCTTGTGACTATACATGAGAAAGATAAACTTACTTAAAAGTAATTAATTTTATATTATAATTATCTTACTTTAAAGAAAGAGAATGTAGCATTCCCTTACTAGATCCAAACTTAATCGTCGATCCCAAGAAGGAAAAATATAAAGTTGGAGATTTGCTGAAATTTTCTTGCCGACCAGGACACAGAGTTGGACCAGATTCAGTGCAATGCTACTACTTTGGATGGTCTCCTAGTTTTCCAACATGTAAAGGTTAGCATCTGTTTTACATTTGGTAAATGAAAATCAGAGGTTTAGTTTTTTTCTCCTAATATCTACCAGTCTTACATTGTATCTACAATCTTTAGCATATTCATAGACAACAATGATCAAGTTGTGTGTTGTGTGACTAATACACAGTCAGTTATTTACATGGTTAGTCCCAGGCTAACTTAAAATTTGTTACCAATATGTTTAAACATGTAGACATGATAGCTTAGAGTACAAAGATATCTCTCATTTTGACTGTATTTCCATTAATACTGGACTTTTTACAGAATAAGCATATCTTCATTAGAGAATGTCTAAACTGTATCACAACAGATTTTGTTTAATTCAATATCATTTATTCAAAAAATAAAATGCATTAGTCAGATACCTTCTACAGTGTGAATATTTTTTACAAATGGATAACTGTATGTTAAATATATTGACTGAGAAGAATCACTATAATTGTCAAAAACTACAATTGCTGACTCGTTTTCATGCACTTTCAAGGTATCAGGTTTACCAAAAATTGTACCATTTTAATATGCTTCAATGCTATTCAATAGACATGTTAAAACAGTGAAATGTGAACCTAGCATTTATAAAATTGATTTAATAAAATGTTATAAAAAGTGATATGGTGAATAAATTCTTAGAAGATTTTTTCATTAACTAGATTTTTAAATGGCAAGATGGACATTTTTATTTAGATGTATACAATATTCTGCAATAGATCAAGTGAGATCATGTGATCAACCTCCTGAACTTCTCAATGGGGAATTGACGGGAACAAAAAAAGAACAGTACAGCCATGGTGAAGTGGTGGAATATAATTGCAAGCCTAGATTTCTACTGAAGGGACCCAATAAAATCCAGTGTGTTGATGGAAAGTGGACAACCTTGCCGATATGTGTTGGTAATTAAAGTGTTAATATTTAAACACTACTTTGTGTCTTATGTGCTGTTTTAATCATAAATACATGTTTGTGAAACAACTACAGAGGATGCAAGAACATGTGAAGACGTTCCTGAACTTGAGCACGGCTCTGTAAAATTTCCTATGCCCTCCTACCGCCATGGAGATTCAGTGGAGTTCACCTGCTTGGAAACATTCACAATGATTGGAAGTGGGTCAGTTTCATGCATTAGTGGAAGGTGGACCCAGCTTCCTCAATGTATTGGTAAGTCTTTATGCCTTAAATTTAGACTTCATAAGTCTCATGTTTTCATTGCAGAGATATTTGCTACTATATACTTCTGAAGTTAGTATTCTTTTTGAAAATATCTAGTCTCAAACAATATGAATCCAAAATTTTATTTTTTATTATTTGGTGTATGTGTCCAAATGGTCAAGAAGATAATGCCAAAGAAATGTGGATTGTCCTTAGAAAGGTCATGTTCTCCATACCCAGAAGCCCTACCAACTCCATAACAGTTTTTCACATAAATCAGTGCCTCTACTGTTTATTAATCCTTAATCTTTTGGTAAATAAATGAACTTTGTAAAATCACTTTCTTCAAAATATTCCTCATTTCTTTAAAACTAACAAAAATTTTATATGGAAGAAAATCAGACATAACATCAGGCCTGAAAACTCAATTCTGCATTTTTTTTACAAGCTTCTGACAGACGTCAGAGATTCTGTTCTGATGGCTGCTCCACCTACAGTCACCTTCATATGAGCCTCTCCATTTATCACAAGCTGCACTACAACATTAACCATACAGTACAAACTTTTTCTACCTGACACATTCTTAGGATTCTTCATATGTTTTGCTTTCTCTTGATGAATAAGAGAATCTTTCGGAAACAAATCCATCACACAATCACCATGCTCTCTAGATTATGGGTCTCTCCCCACTTACCTTTATAGAACATCAGGTTTTCTTTTCCTGTGAGGTAATCTTAAGGATGGGAATAATTCTTGAGGCTCTTGAGTGCATGAAATGCAATGATCATTATTACTTTTATTTGTTCTATCCTTTCTCTCTCTCTCTCTCTCTCTCTCTCTCTCTCTCTCTCTCTCTCTCTCTCTCTCCATTTCCAACTATGAACAAATGTTATGTATGACCTATACTGAAATTTTGTCAAATTCAAAAAGAACTCTCATCCTCACTGAGTAGTTAAAATATCTAACATAAGTTCTCTATATAGTTCTTACTTAACTCAAAACACAACCAAACAGATTTATTATTACGACATAATATTGTTATATTATAGGATAGTCTAGCACATGTAACAACCTCTTAAAAATTCTTATAAAGGGACTATAAAGAACATACATGGTGACTACAAGTTCCCAATTTCTTATACCAATTCTCTCACTAAGAAAACTTTTTTAAATAGTTGATTTTACAAATGTACCTTAGATATTCTTTTCTTTTATCACATCTATCAAAAAGGGCATTTAAAGTAGAACCTTCTCCCACCAGCAATGCAGGATTGTTCCCCCCACATCCTCTCCGGCATAAGTTGTCATCAGTGTTTTCGATCCTGGTCATTCTTACAGGTGTAAGATAAAATCTCACAGTTGTTTTGATTTGCATTTCTCTGATGGCTAAGGATGTTGAGAACTTCTTAAGCATCTTTCAGTGATTTTAGATTCCTCTGTTGAAAGTTCTCTGTTTAGGCCTGTACTCCATTTTTTATTGGAGTATAAATAATAGTTTCATAACTATTTTTAATTATTATATAGAAGCTAGCTCACTTCTTGTCTTTATTTTTTATGGAAATATTTTTCTGTAGCAACAGATCGACTGGAGAAGTGTAAAGCACCAAGGTTAAGTGCACTAGGGGCAAAACTCCCTGAGAAGAATGAATTTAATCACAACTTTAGCATAAGTTACAAATGTAGAGGAAAGCAGGAGTACAAACACTCAGTCTGCATCAATGGAAGATGGGATCCAGAGCCAACCTGTACAAGTAAGCATCTTTGCATTGTCTTCCTATGACTGGTATAGTCTTTTATCACCTGTAATAGTAGTAGCTCTGAGTTCTTAAAACAATGTAAGTTTTAAGTGCTTTATATGTGAATCCTGTATTTTTGCCATTCCCAATTCTCCATCTTCCTACTCAAACTGGTTTATATAATTGAACCTGATGAAACCATCTAGTGCTTCTTCATTGTGTATGTGTTTAGGAAGAAGTGCTTAGTATTGGATTATTTTTTGGCTCACTTCTCTGTGGAGAAGTTGATTACTCCTCTCTATATGCCCATTTAATTACCCGTGGCTCTTTGTCTAGGAGAAGAGCCTTGTAATATTTTTCTCTATCCATGTTGACATGTCAACTGGTATTGTCATCATGCAAGTCTTGTTTAGGTGACCATTCTTTTGAGATTTTATGGGTTAAAATACCCTTTCATGTATGAAGACGCTGTCTCTTAGACAATACTTAGAAAAATACTTTTTAAAAAGATGATTTAGCAATTACTGTATTAAGTCTATTATTGACAGGTAATATAAAACACTCAAGCAAATTTGATGAAAATGAATTCACCTCTGTGTCATAATGATTTCTTACTCTTAGATTCCCTTTACTTCTAATTTTTTCATCACAACAAAAGTGCTATGGCATTCGTAGGTCTGTGTTTAATCATTATGCATTTCTGTATGAGTGTACATAGTAGCGATCTAATAATCCAATCATTCTTGTAATTGATCTGTTTTGTAGAAAACTGACTCATTTGACACCTCCAAATTTATGTAAATAGCAAAGATTTCATTTGACCATTTCTGCTTCCCTATATGTATTTGTCAGTGTCACTTTGAATGCCGTACATCACTTGGTATTTTATAACATTTCTGAAAATTTTTCAAGGAAATTAATTCCATGTGATTCAAAAATCAACCCATTATGTACATTTTCATGAAATGCGTGTGCTGATTTGTACTCCACCCTGGTTTAATCATGTCTGATATAATTTTGATTACTGTGTGAAGTAAGGTGATAATTATTTTTCTTTCCCACATGGCTATCTAAGTGTTCAAAGAATGTGGGAAAATGTATTAATGATGGAAGTGTTAATTTATTTCTGATAGTTTCATTCCACTTAAGAAGCAGAAAAAATGATTATTAACAACAACTAATAAAGCACACTTTCTTGTTATGAATTTGAACGATGAATATGAGGTATCTTGATTTTATAGTTACTTAGACAAAACTTTTCATAAGTATAAAATAATGATTACACTGTCATAATTAATATTTAAAAATTATTGCTTTAATAATTTAACATGCTATCATTTGTCAAAAACTCTGATTTTGAATATTTTTTAGGAGTAGAGAAAAAATCCTGCCCTCCTCCACCACAGATTCCAAATGCCCAAGTTATGGAAACCACAGTGAAATACTGGGAGGGAGAAAAAGTTTCTATTATTTGTCAAGACAATTACTTAACACAGGACACAGAAGAGATGGTGTGCAGAGATGGAAGGTGGCAATCATTACCACACTGTGTTGGTCAGTAGTGATGACTTATTTTAAAACATTGTTTCTTTGAATACTGAAGAGAAATCAAGTGAAGGGGGAGGGTAGTGAAGAACAAGAGCTTAACATGTATACCGTGAAGACATGACCCAAAGTTTGTCTATATATACCAATGTAAAGTTTTATCTATGCTTCACTATTTTATTTCTTTTCTTCATATAGTGAAAATCCCATGTTCTCGGCCCCCTGAAATAGACCATGGATCTATTAAATTACCCAGATCATCAGAAGAAAGGAGAGGCACAGCTGTGTCCAGAAGTTATGAACACGGCACTACACTCAGCTATGTTTGTGATGATGGATTTAGGTTGGCTGAGGAGCATGGGGTAACCTGCCACATGGGGAAGTGGAGTGCTCCACCTCATTGTGTTGGTGAGAAGAGCATGAAAATTTAATTCTGGTTTTAGAAGAACTCTTTACCAATAATCTACTCTCATTAAAAACAGAAGAAAGAATAAATTTCTGTTTGCATAATTCGATCTATCCTGCTTTTGTTAATTGTCTTGACTGTTTTGAAATCTACTTTTACTCTTGTATTTCTCCTTTTAAATATGATGCGTAGTCTACTGACTTCAACTCCTCATGTGAGTTGTACTGCTTAATTTGTCACCAGGCATTAAACTCCTCAGTGTCTCCCGTTTACAGTAAATGCTATATTTCCTGAGTTTTTTATTTTCATTCCTTTTGCCACTCATGGTTTGTCAGATATTTTTATGTTAAGTTCTTGCTCAGTATTGAATATGTAACAGATTCAAAGAAAAAGAAAGTGGACTTCGGACACACTGTCCACCTCTTCTGTGATGGTACATCTTCCTTGTTCACATTTCCCTGTAGTACTACTACACATAGAACTGAAAAATAATATACCAGTTAGTTTCTGAAATAGTACAATGTGGAATCATTTCACTACGTTTCTCTTATTGTGTTAATTTTAGGACTTCCTTGCGGACCTCCACCTTCAGTCCATCATGGTATCGTGTCTCATGAACTAGACAGTTACCAACATGGAGAAGAGGTGACATACAGTTGTTCTGAAGGTTTTGGAATTGATGGACCAGCATTTATTAAATGTGTAGGAGGAAAGTGGTCCCAGCCACCAGCTTGCATAAGTATAACTTTATTTCATTCATTTCATAATATATTATCCAATTCAAGCTACATATGGTATAAATAAGAAACTAAGCTGTAGTTCTAACATATCAGAAGGGTTTGCTGGAATATTCTGGATGATGGCAGTTAAACACAGAACTAGTAAAACACAGTTTAATAGTTTGAGCCTGATTACTTTATTTCCACTTCATGCATCCTGAGCAATCAGCATCCTCAGAATTCTAGAAAACAATGACTCTATTCAAAAGGCCTATCACTACAGTGATAGTTTTAACAACAATACTACTACAACCGCAAATGCTCTAAAAAATTGAAATAGTAATTATAATTAATTTACCTTTGATGAAGCGAAAAAGTGGAAAAATATCAGAGGGGTGGAAAGTATGAGAGATAAAATTGAATGCATAATAAAAATACCTCAAGAATTATAACTATCAGTATTCTGTATCCAGTGTCATTCCCTCCTCATTTATTTTCATAAAGATGGAACAATTCAGTGTAACTAATCAAAATGGGAAAACTACAGTATTTATTGTTCTCAATGAACCTTACTATTGTTTCATATATTGTATATTCTACAATGTCCTGAAAACAAACCTGCTATATTCTTTTTTTTTTCCAGAAACTGATTGTGACATTTTACCCAGGTTTGAAAATGCCGTACTCATAGAAAACGAAAAACAATCATATAGGTCAGGTGAACGAGTGATATTCAAATGTGCACCATCTTATCAAATGTATGGATCCAACATTGTGACATGTGTTAATCGCATGTGGATTGGAGAGCTGGTATGCAAAGGTAGCTTGAAGCACTTTCAACATGTATTTATTATAGCTTTAGAGGATTGATTAATAAGGTCTAGCAGAATTTAATGATGGACAAAGATTATCTCTTAAAACAAGCCAAAGTTTATTTATGTTTAAAATAAAATCATGAAATTGAAAACCCAATGGCTAAGCAAATGGAGAAATGGTCTGCAGAATGTTGTTCTGTGGCCATCATCATTGGTTTATGAATGTAATTAATACTGAGGAGCTCATCCAAAAGATCTTAAACAGAAAAACATCTAGAGGAGAGATCCTGAGTCCACTATAATGTTCCTCAGGGATTCTGGGAAAACTCAGTTTGGAAAATATAGCTATAAACTGTAAACATTTGTAAACGCGTTGTTAAAGAATAATCTTTCATTTGATATCGTCTATATATCTCATTTTCTCTTATTGTTGGGATATTAGAATATTTTATTTGATCATCTTTTCCTTATAACTTTGGTATTCTTGAAACAATGTTTTCCTCCTTATATTGAAAATAGATTTTTTCACATGTATATCCTTATTATGTTTTTTTTCCTCTACTTCTCCCAGTTCCTCTCTCCACCTCTTGTCCCATCTGAACACATACCCTTACTGTCTGTCATTAGAAAATAAAAGCTTTCTAAGGAATAATCAAATAACAAGACAAAAAATAAACACATCAGAATGGGACAAAATAGACTGTTTAAGGGAAAGGGGCTGAAGAAAAGACACAAGAAAGTGATTCAAAAATAAAGCTTCACTTATTTGCATGCTCAGGAATCATGCAAAAGTAGTAATGGGAACTGTATGTAAATGACTTGTAGGGTAAAAAGAGAGAAGGAAAAATATAAACAAAATAAAAATTAAAGCAAAATAAAAATAATATGAAATTTAAGAAAAAAAGAAAAATGAAAGACCTGATAGTACATTATGAGACAAGGAACTTACAAATAAGCCCTTGAGTTGTTTGATGCAGCCTACCCTTAAGAGTAGTTTGTTTTTCATTTGATACTTCCATGGAGAACTCTAGATTTTCATCTGCAAGTAGTTCTCAATTGGAGATTGCTTCTGGGCTAGGAATGTGTGCTTGTACCACATTCCTTTCTCCTTTCAGTTCTAGGACCCCATCTGGTGCATACTAGACCCTGTGTGTGCTCCTCAGTCTGTTAGTTTATATGCACATCAATCCTGTTGATTTAAACAGCCTTGTTTTGTGTCCTCTATCCCTTCTCATTCTTACACTCCTGTTCTGCATGGTTCCCTGAGTCATACAAGAAGGGATTTTATACCCCAATACAATGGAGGGGGGAGGCAAAAGACTGCCTTTTTGAGATACAAAAGACAACTACAACATTTGCTTGCTTCAATACTTGAGACATCAAACCATTAATTAATAAGAAAATCATTCTGTTTAGGCAGTGAATCCACCCCAATTGAATTCTCTGATCTTTGGTCAGGCCTACCTATTGGACCATCTTAACGTCCAAAACACCAAGTAACTACACACTAGATCAGTGTATGTAGCCACACTTGTCAACAATCTCTCTAACCTTCAGACAAAGTAGAAATAAGCTCACATTTTGGGGGCCTCTACAGTTTTTAAGTTTTCTTTTTATTTAACTGAATTTTTTTCTCATATAATACACCCAGACCACAGTTTCCCTCCCTCTACTCCTCCGAGATTCTCACTCTCCCCTGTACTCTAGATGCACTCCCCACCTTTTCCCTTCAGAAAGGAAAAGGCCTCCAAGACAATAACTTAACATGCCTAAACAATCTACAATAAGACAAGACAGACAGCTTCATAACTAGGCTGAACAAGGCAATCTGACAGGAGGGAAAGAGTTCCAAGAGTAGACAAAAATATTAGAGACACACTTGCTCCTACTGTTAGGAGTCCCTCAAAACAATATCAAGCTAAAAAAAACCATAGCATGTAGGCAGATTACCTGGTGTAGAGCCATACAGGCCAAGTGTTTTCTGCTTAAGTCTCTTTAAGCACATGTGAGCCGTGCTTAGTTGATTCAGAGGGTTATGTCCTCCTGGTTGTTGTGGTTTAAATAAAATGCTGCAGGTTTCCAAGTGGCTGCTACAGGCAGCGGGTCCCGAGACCACACTACAGGTTTCCTAAATGGAAAAGGCAGTGGGAGCATGTCTCAAGAGCAGACAGTTCCAGGCAAGGATGGCGCAATTCCCCAAGTGGCTGCAGTGGGCCACAAGGGGCAGCCAGTGCCAGGTAGGGAGCAGTGAGGTGGATGAAAGTCCCCAATGGGGCAGCCAGTCCCATGAGGAGTGGCAGACAGATGGTTACACCAGGAAACCATGCCCCAGGTCTCCAAAGGCAGCTGGTCCCTGGTAGGGAGTCTCCCAGAGGGTGAGAGACAAAGACACGGATAGACATGCCATGCAGAGTGAGGTTGGATATTTATTTAGTGGGTTATAGAGGGGGAATGGGAGAAGGGGGGAAGAACAGAGAGAGAAGCAGAGAGGGGGGAATAGAGGGAAGAAAGAGAGAAAGAGAGAGAGAAACTGAGGGGTGGAAGGAGAGAAGTGGAGAGAAGGGAGAGACAGAGCTGCCTCTTGATGGAAGAGATGGAAAAGAAGGGACTACTCAGGGTGAAAGTTGAAGATCAGCTTGCCTCGGCAGACAGGGGAGAGAGTAGGCCTGGATTCTCTCTCTCTCTCTCTCTTTTACCTTTTTTAAAAAATGATTTTTATTGAGCTCTACACTTTTCTCTGCTTCCCTTCCTGTTGAAATAAGAGTGGCGGGGCTGCGTCCCCAGCACCCCAGCCGCCTGCTAGCTCATGCCCGAAATAACAACACACAAATTGTATCCTTTTAAACACTGCTTGCCCATTATATCTAGCCTCTTCTCAGCTAACTCTCGCACCTGGACTAGCCCATTTCTAATAATGTGTGTAAGCACCCCAAGGTGCGCTTACCAGGAAGATTCTAGCCCATGTCCATCCTGGGTCGGATCTGCCTGGGAGAGCGAAGCAGGGCCTCTGCTCCAGAGAGCACAGCTGTCCGGTCTGAGCTCACTTCTTCTTCCTCCCAGCATTCCATTCTGTTTACTCCTCCCATCTTCCTCCTGTTTACTCCTCCCACCTATGTTTTAACCTATCAGGGCAAGCAGTTTCTTTATTTAATTAACCAATGAAATCAACAGATTGATATATGACACTCCCACATCACCTCCCTGCCTGTCACCTCCCTACTTCAACCCTCCCCCAATGTCCCCTTGCTCCCAATTTACTCAGGAGATCTTGTCTTTTTCTACTTCCCATATATATTAGATCTATGTCACTCTTAGTGTCATTATTGTTGTCTATATTCTTTGGGATTTTGGTTTGTAGGCTGGATTTCTTTGTTTTATGTTTAAAAACCACCTATGAGTGAGTACATGTGATAATTGTCTTTCTGTATCTTGGTAACCTCACTCAAAATAATGTTTTATAGCTCCATCCATTTTCCTGAAAATTTCAAGATGTCATTATTTTTTTCTGCTGTATAGTACTCCATTGTATAAATGTACCACATTTTCCTTAGCCATTCTTCAGTCAAGGGGAATGTAAGTCGTTTCCAGGTGCTAGCTATGACAAACAATGCTGCTATGAACATAGTTGAGCACATGTCCTTGTGGTAAGATTGAGCATCCTTTGGATATATACTTAAAAGTGGTATTACTGGGTCTTTGATGAAGGTTGTTTCCTAATTTTCTGAGAAATTGCCACACTGACATCCATGGGGGTTGTACCAACTTGCATTCCCACCAGCAATGTAGAAGTGTTCCCACAACCTCTCCAGCATAAGTTGTCATCAGTGTTTTTGATGTTGGCCATTCTTACAGGCCAGGTGTAAGATAGAATCTCAGAGTTGTTTTGATTTGCATTTCTCTGATGATTAAGGATGTTAAACTTTTCCTGAAGTGTCTTTCAGCCATTTTAGATTCCTCTGCTGAGAATTCTCTGTTTAGGTTTGAACTCCATTTTTTTCTGTTGGAGTGTTTGGTTGGTCTGGTTCAAGGCCTCTGGCTTCTGCAACACTATTGATACTGGGCCTCCTCTTAGACATTTTGTTGTTACCCTGTGTCATGGAGATCCTGCAGCTTTAGATCTTCAAGAATGGCTCCTTCATGTGCTCCAGCAGTTCATAGAATGGAGGTTGGGGTGGGCCGTCTCATAGTTATGGTTCTGGTCCTGGATGGTAGCTGGGTTGGTCAGCCAGCCAACTCCTCTTCCTCATTACCAAAAAGAACTCTCCAACACTGCCCAGCTAGCTCACCCAAGTCAACAAACAGCAAGAGATGGGGCAAGTTCTCCTCTCCCTCCCTCAAGGCATGTTCACTTTACTCATTCCACTGGGCAAACTCTGCTTACTGTGCTGCCCAGGTGAGGAGCAGAGGCCACTCTCCCAGATACAGTAGCCTGACCTCTCAGGGGCAAAGCCAAGGTTTTTTTTCTACTCCCAAGACCCAAGGGCCAGCTTTGATGTCTGTCACATATGATAAGGAGTGAGAGACTATGGATTTCCTTTTTTCTTACATGTTGATTTAAAAATATGGGACTTTTATGAGTATATGCCAAGACTTAACTTTATGAGTACAGAAATTTCCCAAATTACTTCAATTAGTCATTTAGTATTAAATGTGAACTATATATTTTTGATGCAAAAATTTACATCATATCTATAAACAAACTTTAACTGCCTAGTCCACTGCTCAGATTCTATTTCAGATTATTCGCATTTGAAATAATTACTAGTATGTTTGATATATCTGTTCTTTTGTTAATTTGTGTATGCTTCCTCAATTCATCAGTCTTATTTCCTTTTTCCTTTTCCTTTGAAGAATATTTCTCAATATTTTTTGGCAAGCATCTTTTATTGGTTTTTAGTACACAATTTGAGTATGCTATCTCTGTCTCCTAACTGTTGTAGGAGTGTAGGAGGCTGCATGTTTGTTTCCTGACTGCCCGGTAGCTCAGCCACAAAATAATCACACAAAATATATTATTTAAATCACTGCTTGGCCCATTAGTTCTAACTTCTTATTAGCTAACTCTTATATATTAATTTAACCCATTTCTATTAATCTATGTATTGCCCCTTGGCAGTGATTTACCTACTAAAATTCCAGCATCTGTCTCCAGTGGGGCTACACGACTTCTCACTGACTATGTCTCCTTTCTCCCAGCATTCAGTTTAGTTTTCCCTGCCTACCTAAGTTCTGACCTATCAACAGGACAAGGCTGTTTCTTTATTAACCAATGGAATTCACATCATACAGAGGGAAACCCAACATCACCTTGTTACTAAAGTCACCCTAGGTATTTGTGTGTGAGTGTGTGAGTATGTGTGTGTGTGTGTGTTTGTCATTCTTTACTAATGCTGGCATTTTATACTTCAATGGAATCTGGAAACTGCACTTAACCTTAGAATTGATTTATTGTTCCCACTTGCCATGTTTTACTTAAAGATTCCTGCTACATATACTGAACACCATTCTCAAATGCTAGTTTTCCCCTCAGACATAAACATAATTTAATGGGCAGAAAGATCATTTAGTATATAACCCTCATTTTACCAGTTACTTTTAATCTAAAGTCTTAATTTTTATTTTTATTTCTCCAATGAATTCAGGTAGTTAGTATTTCTGAGGAACTCTCTGTCCGAGATAAATCATTTTTATCTTGTTTTATCTGATAATGTCTTCCTTGAAAAGGCTAGTACCACTGGGGAAAGATTTCGAGGCTGACTCTCATTTTCTTTCATCTCCTATGGCCTCCATGGTGGTAGAGTGGAAGTCACTTTCTTTGAATTTTCATCCAGTGTGGATAATGATAACTTCATACAACCTTTTAAAAAAATATTTTCTTTAAGCAGTTTCAATGCATGTGTCTGCATGAGCTTCATAACTTTTTCTGTTTGAGTTTACTCAGCTCTTAAACATGCATAATTATGCCTTATACCCAACTTTTTCAATTTTCCTTCATGGTATAATATTTTCATTAGATCTTGAACATTTTATTTTTCTTGTAAACAGCATTGGAGTTAAGTTCTGTTTCATGATGTTCCTGTTGAAATCTTATGCAACAGATTGTGCAACCAGTACTTGATTTCAGTCTTTTCCTGTGATCTCATCAGGACAATCAGATACCCAAAAGAAAAACAAATGATGTACAATATTGTACAGCTAGTTGCACCGTGAATTTCTTAAATAGAATTCTCAGTCTTCCCTCTTCCTATATTGTTTACTAAATAGATTGTAGCCTAGAATACCTGCTGTTCCTAGCAAAAGTATAACCTATAGATACCAATAAATATTTTTCCCCTTTAGGAAACCAGAAAGCCTAATTAGCCTTCTGTAGCTTTATAAGTTTTAATGTCTTGCTTATAAATGTGTGTTTCTGCAAAAATTATGATGAAGATTGGGAATATGTAAGGCAATAAATACTCCAGTGTCTTAAAAACAAAGAAACACTGACTGTCTACATTAGCATTTGTATGTTCAGAAGTTGTTAAGATATTTACTAGCACTGGAAGGCTTCAGAGCAGACATGCTCACTCCAGTTCAATAAGTACTATAGATGAGAAGAAAGAAAAAACTTGTAACTGTTTATTTAATTGAAATTTTGTAAAGTACTCATTTCTGTAGCCAGAAATTACTGAAATCTCTTTTAGCACTGTACTTTCATTACTTCTGATTAACCCTTTATTTTGATTTGATGTCTCAAACATTGAAATGCTGTGTTTTTAGATTCAACAGGGAAATGTGGGCCGCCTCCACCTATTGACAATGGGGACATTATCTCCTTCCCTTTACCAGTATATGAACCATCATCATCAGTTGAATATCAGTGTCAGTTCTTGTACCAACTGCAAGGCAACAAGAAAATAACATGTAGAGATGGAGAGTGGTCTGAGCCACCAAAATGTTTACGTAAGTATATCTTTCTCAGATCATAGGAGATTCATTTTCATGACATGGATTTTTTTTGTTAATAAAGAATATTTGCAGATTAAAAGCAATGATTTTGCTTAGTGTTTCACTGCCAAATATCAGACAAATATGGGGAAAACAAGATTACTAGATTCATTTTATATAAAAATGAAGTGAAATTTTATTTGTCAACTATTTGACTTTCACTTCAATTTTGATAATCATAATCAAAGGAAGTCAGGACAGGAACTCAAACAGGGCAGGATTCTGGACTCAGGAACTGATGAAGAAGCCATGGAGGAGTTTTGTTTATGGACATGTTTTTCATGATTTCCTAAACCTGCTCTCATATAGAATCCAGGACTACCAGTCTAGGGATGGCACCACCTACCATGACCTGGTTCCTCTCCCATTGATTACTAATTGAGAAAAGGACTTACAGGTGGATTTCATGGAGGCATTTTCTCAACTGACACTCCTTCTCTAATGAGTCTAGCTTGTATCAAGTGTCATATACACATACAAAACCATTCAGTACAGAGGCCATTCTTATTCAAATCACCATGCCTGTATATACCTTGCAGTTATTAAATTTCAGCACCTCATGTAACCTCTTCTTCCCTTAGATAGATCATGTAACTTGTATTAACCACTTTCAGGTATTCAAGAGGAATTTTATTTTTTCTTTCCACCATGTGAGAAAGAAAACAAAGGATTTGTATTCTTGTGTTGGGATCATTTCAATTAATGTCCCTCACTGTCCTTTTCTAACTAAATAATAAAAATTACCTATAATGTCTGAGCAACATTTCATATAAAAATATACCACTTTTATTATAAATTTATTAATTGTTGGTCACCCAAACAGTTTTTCCTTCTTAGCCACCATGATGTAGCAATGTGCATTAAAAGTATACTTGCAGGCTGGGTAAGTTGGTTTCATTTGCTCTGGGTACCAAAAGAGGGATACAGGAATAGTATTTCTATATTTTTTTATGAAATCTCTATAATTATAGTAACTGCACAAACTCATGTTTCCGCCAACATCTTTCCAGTTTCTTTTCCACTACACTCACAAGCATTTGTAAATTTTAGGGTTCTGGAATACCATTCAAGTTGGGTGGCACTAAAGCTATGCTTGTCAGTGAAATGATAGCTAATGATTTTAATCAACTTTTTCCCCCTCACTAACATGTATATTCATTCTTTTGATGTCTGTTCATATTATTCAGATGTGAGTGGCTCACTTTTCTTTTTAACAGTATTTTCAATTATGTATTTATTCTTGACGTATGAAGCTCATTATACAACATATATAAACCCCTAACAATGAATAACTGACCATAGTTTTCTCCAAATATACTGGCTGTCATTCCTTAATTGTATTGATTATGTTTTCTGATAAACACAAGTATTTTATTGTGATATACTCTATTGGCCAAGGTTTGCTTTTGTGTCTTATGTTTTGAAATTCCAGTTAATTATTCACTGTCCAAAACCAGTGACGTCCTTCCTGTTGTTTTTATTGTATGCTCAGTGTTTCTGTTCGTATATTTGCCTTTGATCAACTTTGTGTCAATTAATCCCCAGAATAAGAGACAGGAATCAAATTTTAATCACATCCGTGCAGATATCAATTATCCTTGTATCATTTATTCAATATACTATCAATTCTCTAGCATATGTTTTAGAAACTCTTTTAATATCAATTTACTATAGATTCATACATCAAGTTTTCAAATCTTTTTTTCTCATTTTTTTAAATTTATTTATTTCTTTATTAATTAATTAAAGATTTCTGTCTCTTCCCCACCGCCGCCTCCCCTTTCCCACCCCCTCCCCCAATCAAGTCCCCCTCCCTCGTCAGCCCAAAGAGCAATCCAAACTGCGTAGGCTCCCACAAAACTAATAGGTGCAGTAGGATCAAAAACCCATTGCCATTGTTCTTGGGGTCTCAGTAGTCCTCATTGTCCGCTATGTTCAGCGAGTCCGGTTTTAACCCATGCTTTTTCAGACCCAGGCCAGCTGGCCTTGGTGAGTTCCCCATAGGACATCCCCATTGTCTCAGTGTGTGGGTGCCCCCCTCGCGGTCCTGAGTTCCTTGCTCGTGCTCTCTCTCCTTGTGCTCCTGATTTGGACCTTGAGATTTCAGTCCGGTGCTCCAATGTGGGTCTCTGTCTCTGTCTCCTTTCATTGCCTGATGAAGGTTAATATTCAGGAGGATGCCTATATGATTTTCTTTGGGTTCTCCTTCTTATTTAGCTTCTCTAAGAACCCGAATGATAGGCTCAATGTCCTTTATTTATGGCTAGAAACCAAATATGAGTGAGTACATCCCATGTTCCTCTTTTTGGGTCTGGCTTACCTCACTCAGGATAGTGTTTTCTATTTCCATCCATTTGCCTGCAAACTTCAAGAAGTCCTTGTTTTTTACTGCTGAGTAGTACTCTAATATGTATATATTCCATACTTTCTTCATCCATTCTTCAATTGAAGGGCATCTAGGTTGTTTCCAGGTTCTGGCTATTACAAACAATGCTGCTATGAACATAGTAGAGCATATACTTTTGTTGTATGATAAGGCCTCTCTTGGGTATATTCCCAAGAGTGGTATTGCTGGGTCCATGGGTAGGTTGATCCCGAATTTCCTGAGAAACCTGCTCATCCCAGTGTTGTGGTGGTCTGGTTACTGACAGGTAACTGGTATACACTGAAATAAGGTACTATGATATAATCTCCAGATATTTTATCTTTGCTTAAGCTCCAGTTGTTTACTCATTCATTATTCTTCCATCTGAATTGATCCCCACCCCCATTTGTATTGTTATCGATCCCTTTGCCCTAAGTCTCCATTGCAAGCTGGTCAGTCTTAGGTCACAGTGGAGAACAGAGACTACAGTGTCAAGGGGCTAAGAGTTCTTTCTTAAGAGCAAAAAACTACTTGGGAGTCTGAGTCTTGGCCAGTTTGTTTATTGGGGTAACAGGCTCGTTTATATATAGCTTGAAGATTAAGGAACAAGCAAAACACACCTAGTTTGCATACAAAGATCAGATTGCAGGCAGGCAGGCATCTGTCTATAAGTTCAAATACCAAGAAGTTCCAATGCAGAGTAAAGAGAAGGGAGGGAACATGAAGAGGGAAAAGTGCAGCAAAAATAGCAAATACCTCAGTTTATCAGCTGGCTGGTTGTCAGCAAAATAACATATGTTGCTACCAGTTTTCTGGTGGGGAGTAAAAGATTTGCTTACTTTTAAAATGATGTGACCTTTTGCTCTCATGAAGTGGATCCAGATTTGTTTTTAACCCAAATCAGGAATTAACGCCTCACTCTTATAGTAAAATTTCAGAGAGATTTCAGGGTGCAGGCCCATGCCTCCAACTTGTTTGATTCTGGAAATCCACATATCTGTATAAAAAAAGCATTATTGGTATTTCATTTGCATTTTATAAAGTATGCTAATGGCATGGGAAACATGGACATTTTAGTATTAATATTTATTCTTATGACCCAATATGTAAAAAACACGTTTATAGAAATGGATGAGAAGTATAACAAAAAGTTTGAAGAATTGAGTAAATACGTACATGAGACCCTGGGAAACCAAGAGAAAATGAACAAACAGGTAATGGAAACAGTTCAAGAATTGAAAACTGAAATGGAAGCAAGGAAGAAAACACAAACTGAGGACCAGCTGGATATGGAAAATCTAGGTCAACGAGCAGAGCCTACAGAAACAAGCATAATCAATAGAATACAAGAAATAGAAGAAAGAATCTCAGATTCTGAAGACACCATAGAGAAAATAAACGCACTGATCAAAGAAAACAGCAAAGCCAACAAATTCTCATCACAAAACATTCAGGAAATATGGGACACAATAAAAA